CAAGAAGGAAGTACGGGAAATCGTGGGTTTCTTCAACTACTTCCAAAATTTCATCCCCAACCTTACTGGGACGCTATATAGTATCACCGAGTTAACCAAGGGGAAAGGTGGTAATAGGATACATTGGTTGGAGGCTCATCAAAGAAGCTTGGATATGGCAATACAACAGCTACAGGAGGTGGGAGGTCTATATACGATTGATTATACACAACCCTTTTGTTTAATCACCGATGCTAGCAATCATACGGTGGCATGCTGCTTGGCACAACCCGATGAACGAGGGAATGAACGACCCATTACTTTCGCCAGTAAGAAGTTATCTGAGACACAACAGCGCTGGGCTACCATCGAGAAGGAGGCCTATGCTATAATATGGGCCTTACAAAAATTTAGGGGTTGGATTTGCATGTCAAAGGTTCACATATATACAGACCATAACCCCCTAACCTACTTGACAGATGTGGTGCCAAAAAGTTCTAAATTGATGAGGTGGAGTTTGGCACTACAAGAATTCGATATACACATCAAATATCGAGCGGGTAGCAAAAACGTGGCAGATTTCCTCACACGTCTAGCTGACAGATCGCTGGAGATGAAGAGGTAATGTATTCAGGAGTGAATATTCTTTCACCCCCAAAGAATATTCAAAGTGTGGTGAGAGGTATGTCACAGGTTGAGGTTTAGCATGCGGCGCCTCATGATTTAATCTTAACGGGGTTGCCGCATTGCGGAAAAAACAAAAAATATATAAAGCGATAATAGGAGAATTAGTGGGTCAGAACGGCGTAGTTTAACTCTTGATTGATAGTAGACGGTAGAACTTTGCATTTTAGTAATTATTGGTTTAATTTGGAATAAAAACGTTTGGTAGTAGGTTTGGCGGTAGGACGTTGGCAGTCACAAGTCTAACTGGAACGTCGTTAATAGGAATAAAGTGGTAATTGGTGGCAGGTAGTAGTAGCGGAGTCAACAACAACTCCAACACAACAGCGTCGTGATAACAACCACCACAACTACAGCAGCTGCAACAACCAGTTATTTCAACAGCTCCAACTCAATAGTGTCGTGGTTTCAGTTATTTCAACAACTCCAACTCAGCAGCGTCAGGGTAACAACCACCTCAGCTACAACAACTCTTATCCAGCAACGTCGTGGCGTCAGTTATTTCAACAACAACGCCAACACAACAGTGTCGTGATAACAACCACCACAACTACAGCAGCTGCGGCAACCAGTTATTTCAACAACAGCTCCAACACAATAGTGTCGTGGTTTCAGCTATTTCAACAACTACTCCAACCCAGCAGTGTCAGGGTAACGACCACCTCAGCTACAACAACTCTTATCCAGCAACATCGTGGCGTCAGTTATTCCAACAACAACACTCGCACAACAACGTGACAGTCTATACCGTAGTAATAAAGCACGTTTGTCACCCCAACGACAGTACATACATTAACTTAATAATTGAACAATATTTTGTTAATTTGTATTCTATTTCGATTTATTTGAATATCAAGAAAGCTTATTTTCTGTCTCTACACATCAAATTTCAAGTCTTTTGATAGAAGCCGTAAAGAACCTGTTACATTGATGTTGGGGGATATAATAATAATAATAACAATATTAAAAATAATATGATCTCAGCTAACTCTATTGCCAATTTTTTGCAGCAATGTTTTGATAAATTCTATAAAATCATTAATTCAACTTACAGTTGGTACTATCCAGCATCAAACATCACGCTTAGATCATCAGACCCTTCATTTATCAGCCCATTCATCAAATTTCTACTTCGCCAAAAAAATAAACTCATGAGATTAGGATTCACCGTCAAAGCCGCAGCGATCACCAAATACATCAGTAAACTTATTATCAACTTCAACTCGAAAACTTTCACTAATAGTAAGCGTGGAAACAAAGCCATGTGAGAACAAATCAACATGATTAGAGGCTCTGAGAAATCACTCAACACATAAACCGTGCAGCATATTGATGCCAACACACTCAACACCCACTATGCTTCCATGTCAACCGACCAGTCCTACAAAATTCCACCAACAAAAGCTACTACAATCAATAGTCATCAACATCAACAATTTAACCATACTCCGTCCTGCACATGCTAACGAAGGCTTGCCCATCCGGTACAGGTCCAGACGGTCTACCTGCATGGTTTTTACAAATCATCGCTCCATTCACCTCCAGCACCTTATGTTCACTCTACAATCACTGCTTAATTCACTCATTCATCCCAGCACAATCCATCCAATTCCTAAAACAAAACACTCGTCATTACCAATAGATTATCGCCCAATATCTATCACGTATTCTAGAAAAATTCATCGTTAGGTCATTCATCTATCCATGTTTCAACCATCCATCCATCAAACCACTATTACAAGACCAGTTTGCATTTCGCCCAACAGGCTCATCTACATCCGCCATCATCTCTCTTACTTCCACAATGACATCTTTCCTTAAAAATAATAATTATGTTCATCTTATTGCCCTCGATTTCTCTAAAGCTTGTGACACTCTCAATCACTTCTCACTTTCAAATAAGTTAGCCTCTCTTCCACTACCTGACAACATTTACAATATCATAATTAATTTCCAATCTAATAGAAGTCATTCTACTCTTTTTAGCTCTACTCTTTCATCTACTCTACCTATTAACTCTAGCGTAGTTTAAGGTTCTGTCCTTGGTCCATCTACCTTATCATCAACGCTTCTACTCTCATAACTTTTCATAGCTCAAATCAAATCATCAAATACGCTGACGACACCTACCTTATCCTCTCATCATCTAACTCAAACACCATCCAATCAGAACTCGACTCATTAACCACATGGTCAAAACGATGCAACCTTTCACTTAATCTCAATAAATCATTCCAACTCATCATTCACAATAGCCGTAAAAAAATAACATTACCTCCTGAACACCCATCAATCACTCGCACAAATCAACTAAAAATATTAGGCATCACATTCACCTCCACACTCAATATAGCACCTCATATCAATTACATCATCACAAAGGCCTTCAAACATTTCACGCACTCAAAAAACTCCGTTCACATGGTCTCAGAGGCGTCAAATTATTCGACATCACCGAATCACTCATCATCTCACGCATCAAATATGCAGCTCCCTCCTGGTCTGGTTTTGCCACGCAACAACAACTTCAGCAGCTACAATCTCTCATCAAAAAACTAATTCGCTTCAACTACTTACTGCATCATATCCTACCGTCACTCAGATATTCAACACACTCGATTCAAGGCTGTTCAAGAAAATAGAAAATAACAACAACCACGTCATCCATCCTCTACTACAACCAATCAAAACTACAACACACAACCTTCGTCAGCGCAAACATAACTATCAAGTCGTCGCCCAATCTACATACCAGGAAAAGACCTTCATCACAAGACACCTCAAACATATTAGCACTTAAAACTTTATCATTACTGAACTAGTTTTTACTTATCGATCACCTCACTTTTATCGATCACCTCACTAAGTCATCATTTAGTCTATTAATCAGTCATCAAATATATTAATACTCATTAAAACATTTTCACACACAGGCCTAGCCTTTATTTTTATCGATCACCTCACTAAGTCATCATCTAGTCTATCAATTTGCCGTTACTTCATTTTATATTCCATTGTCAATTACTTTTCTTTTATTTCTCTTATTATTATTTATTTTATTCTAACATATTTTATTTTTCATGTTTTATCATTTCTCTTCCTCACTTTTTGTATTTATTTTCTCACTTATTTGTTTAATTTTGTTTTACTGCCTTGAATGTTGTTACAATTTCTGCGTCTGTCAGATCCTGATTTTAAAGAATAAAGAAAAAAAAAATTCAATTTGCCTGAGATAAACTGGGATTCATTCAAATGTAAAAATAATAACGACAAGATTGAGAACAAATTTTTAAATATCTTGAAAGATAAGTTTTTATTACAACACATCAACCATCTTACAAGATTTAGAGATGGTCAATCAGCTAATATCTTAGATCTGGTGATCTCAAATCAGGAATTTGCTAAGAATATAATGATTTATCCACTATTGGGAAACAGTGATCACTCAGTGGTTTGTTTTAAGATAATTGAATTTGGTTATTTTGATGTGAAATGCAAATCAAAGTTCTGTTATGAGCTGGGAAACTACATGGGCTTTAAAAGTGCTCTTACACAAGCAATGAAGCATTCAACTCATTTGAGTGGTGATGTAGAATAGCTGGACACTTTTTAGAGACAAAATGGTTGCATGCACACATGAATTTGTTCCAAAGAAGAGAAAGAATAATAACAATAAAGTCAAAATAAATATGGAACTAAAAAAGTTGATCAAACAAAAACATTTGCTCTGGAGATCTATATACAGATATGGTGAGGATAAATTAGAAATGTATCGGGCAATCAAAGAAAAAATAAAAAAATCTACAAGGAAGTTGAAACGACAATGTCAAGATAGAATTGCTATAGAATATAAAAATAACCCAAGGTTCTTTTGGAATCATGTGAAAAAAGTAACCAAACATGATGAATTGGTTGGTCCGTTATCAGAAAAGGGGATGATAATTACTGGTGTTAAAGAAAAGGTTGAAATTTTGAAATTTTTGGACGATGTAACTGAAGGAGTAGATCATGATCATGAGGTCAAAGTAGTCTATATGGATTTGGAGAAAGCGTTTGACAAAGTTTCCCATAGTCGTTTACTATTTAATTTGGAAAAGTATGGAGTAAATATAAAAATAGTAAAATGGATCGAGAACTTTCAGGGTAACATTAGATGATGTTTTATCGGAGCCAAAAACAGTTCGAAGTGGGGTCCTCAAGATGGAGTATTGAGCCCTTTGTTATTTCTCATCTACATAAACGACATTTTTTCTGTTTGCGACATTATGCTTTTTGCAGATGATTCAAAAATCTATTGAGTAATAAAGAGTGAAAAGGATATAAATAGCTTTCGGCGTGACATTGGAAAATTAACTGATTGGTTCAATAAATGGAGATTAAAACTAAATTCAGATAAATGTCAATTGTTGAAAATATGCTCCAATAAATCGCGTCTTCCATATACCATTTTGGATAGTAGTGGATCACAAGTTCATCTGCATATAGTGGAGGAGGTATCAGATCTCTGAGTCACAGTGGATGACAAATTAAATTTCAAAAGCCATGCTTTGAAGATAGTTCACATGGCGAACTATATGTTAGGTATAATTGCAAGGAATTTCAAGTACCTTTCAAACGAGGCATTTGTAACTTTGTACAAGTCGTTGGTGAGATAGCACATGGAATATGGTGTCCAGGCATGGAATCCATACCAAGTCGGCTTAATTGATAAATTAGAAAAGGTACAGAGAAAAGTAACTGGTGTAATAAAATCTTGCAAAAACCTTTCATATTAAGACCGGCTGAGAAAACAGCGGCTGCCATCTATAGTTTACTGATCTCATTTTATTATTCAGAATTCATGGTCTGATCCCTGCTGCTGTGATCGCTACGTTATTGTTCTCACACGAAGACCGCACAAGAGGACACAACTTTAAGCTAACTACAAGTGCTAGCCATAAAGACTGCCGTAAATTTTTTTTGCAAATAGAGTGGTTGGTGAATGGGACAAGCTGCCTTCGGTCATTGCAAATGCCACCTCTCTGTCTGGATTCAAATCAGCAGTTGATGTATTGTAAGGTGATTCCAAGTTTATTTGTCGACCTAATTATTAATGAATAATTTTCATTTGTCTTTTAATTAATGAACACCTAATATAAATAGTATAAATAATTTTGATTGATTGATCGACATTTATCATTTTGCTTGTTTTGGTTTTGGTTTTTGAGGTCATATTTTTGGCAATTTAATTTTAACTGAGTCCAATTAAATCGTTTTGTTAATTTCAAGTAGAAACACTTTTGATTTAACTTTACGTATTTTTGTATTGGGTTTTTGATTTTTCTGTTTTGTTTGGCAATGGGCTATAGCCCATGCTATTTTATCTAATAATAATAATATACACAATCAGCCAACATAGTATCATATATCCCAATCACACAGTCAGCCAACCTAATATTCACAATCAGTCAACATAAAATACACAAACTTAAAAACCTGTTGCAATCTGTCAATGATTTTAATGCAATATGTGGTAAAAGTATACTTTTCTGTCTACCTATGCTATTAATTTTGTAAGATATGCAGGTAAAATTTTAGATTAACAAAATTTGCAATGTGACCGGGTTAGGGTTAAAGTTGGTGAAAGTTTTAGTTAGTTTTATTATTTTTGCATACCTTTAGTACAATCATAGTATATTAACCCTTAACATAACCCCTAGCCCTTACTCTAACCCAGGAGTGGGCAAACTTTTTACTGTGAGGGTCGCATTGAGAACTATTTTACCTTTGAAGGGTAGCATATGTACTTAAATAGCAAATTTTTTCGATCCAAGGAAGTATTTTATTAAGATTTGTGGCTCTTTTTTTAGTCATAATGTCTGGCTGATGACCTTTTTTGGCGGGCCTCGCGGGCCGCATAAAAAACTTCAAGAGTCATAGTTTGCCCACCTCTGATCTAATCTGTGTATTTTCATTTCTATTAATGTTAAAAAAACTTGTCAGAATATATTTTCATGCCTGCCAATGTTAAATATATATAAAAGTATACCTTTATTCCATGCCTACTATGCATAATGCATAAAAAAAATATACTATCCAGCCTACCACACGTAACCATTACGATTACAGCAGTTACAACATAAAAATACGAATTCGTCTTTTTAAAAACTATTCTATTTCAGTTCTTCTCATTTTAAATGTGCTAAATTAAATGTTTACTATTTTAAGTATGAGATTAACATTCTAATTTTTATTGTTATTAATCTTAGTTCACATTTTAGTTTTTAAGCTTGTTTACTTTCACTTCCATTCTTATTTCACAAAATTAATTGCAAGGGTAGCAGAAAAGTATACTTTTGCCCAATATGCTACTCAGTCAATACTAGCGCCGATGAACGAATAAAGCCACTCAGCCAATAAAAAAAGCCACTCAAGAACCATTGGCAAGACCCGATATATCTCTTCCTAGTAAAATTGAATTCATTTTATTATTGCTATCTTGTAAAAGCATCACACAATCAAAGTAAAACTGTTGTTAAACATATAATCATGATACAACCTTTATTAAAATGATATAAACAAATTCCGGACTGAGGTTCGGCGTAATCATCAACTTTCGCTGCAACCATACTCAACAACAGAAAATTACGCCGAGAACACGTTCAATGTCAAATTTATATGGAAAACCATGACGATGTCGAAACTAACAAAATGATTTTTCAATTTTTTCAAAATTTAACACACAAACATATTTAATATTATTAACTTTCTTTCTACTCTGCCCATCGAAATAAGAATTTTGAACGCACACAAACACTCACACAAATATATATATATATATATATATATATATATATATATATGGTAACTGGCAGGATGAAGTTTGATCACGTGACGCCCATCCTGGAGGAACTACACTGGTTGACAGTAGATAAAAGAGTAACCTTCAAAATCGCTGTACTTGTGTTTAAATCACTGAATGGGATGTCACCAGAATATCTCGTAAACAAATTTAAAAAAAAAATATCTGCGTCGTCTCATCTACGATCAGATGATATAAATTTGTTGACAATACCGGTTTCACACATGCAGATTGGTGCACGGAGTATTTCTGTTGCAGGTCCGACCGTGTGGAACAGCTTTCCACAGTCATTGCGATCATCCGGACTGTCTCTTAGAACATTTAAAAAAGAATCAAAAACATATTTGTTCACTGTTAAACTTTGATAATTTTAGTTAAGTTGTTGTGTTTTTTTTCTTTTTAATAGTATTGTAGACTTCGATGTTTATATAATTACGATAGCGCCTTTGAGAACATTTAATTGGCGTTATATAAGTTTCCTATTGATATATATATATATATATATATATATATATTACATTCAGTTGGTTGCCAGCATTCCATCTAGTATAGTTGTTGGCTTAAAAAAAAGACTTGTTAACTGTCTCTATAAGATTGATGTCTGGGTGGACCAAAATGGCATAGAATGAATAAGTCACAAACAAACTTACTTTCCGTTGGTACGTAGCAAAGACTGTCACAGACTGACTTAAATTCATTTGAAATTGATGACACTAATTGATTTGTGAAGGAATTCAACTGTCCTTGGATTTACTTTCGACATTAATTTGAATATGTGTGATCACGTGAAAAAGTGTCTGCCATGTGTATGTTTCAGTTTCGTCGCCTTAGACTAATCAAAAAATGTTTAACTGAAAAAAACTTTATGCGCTTTTATGCACGTTTTTATTTATTCACGTCTTGACTACTGTAATAGTCTTTTGTATGATGTTTCTAAAAAGGAAATAGCCATGCTGCAATCAGTTCAAAATAGGTCCGCCAAGATTGTTATCGGCAGTCGCTGGTGTGACCATATTACGCCAGTTTTAAACAGCTTCCACTGGCTGCCTATTCATGAAAGAATTATTTTTAAAATTGCTGTTATGGTTTTAAGATGTCTGAACAATTTGGCACTCAAATATTTGGCCGATAGAAGTTTGCAAACAAAAGAGGTGTTAAGTGACTATGATTTGAGATCGAGTAGTGCTAATACGTTGGTCACGACTGTGACCAGACTTAAGATTGGTTTGGGTAATTTCCCTGTAAGTGTTTCAGCTGTTTGGAATGCTCTTCCTTGTTTCTTGCGTCAAACTGGATTATCACTGGATCAGTTCAAGAGGGAACTTAAAAGTTAAAACACACTTGCTTCAATCGAATCTGAGTTTTAAAAACTTGCTTCTTTTATAAAGCAGTAACAGCGCTAGTGAGAACACAGAAAGTGTTATAATCGGCGCTTTATAAGTTTCCAAATAATATATATATATACATTTCAAGACGAGATTACGAGATTCATTGAATATATGGCTGAGGTTAATCTGTGGATGTCAAGAAATGAATTGAAACTTAACCAGGGTAAAACAAAATTTTTTCCTTTTGTTACCTGGCAGTAGTTGGCAGACTTGGATATAAATTCAGTTGTTATGAATGATAAAAAAATAGATTTCTGTAAAGCAGTGTCGAATCTAGGTTTTATAATTGATTCAAACCTAATAATGAAATCTCATTTTTAAATGATCTCTATATCATGCTTGGCACAGATTAGAAGAATGAAACAAATTCGAGAATTACTTGATAAAAACGCAATGCAGACTCTGGCGCATGCGTTGGTGCACTCACGTGTCGATTATTGCAATAATTTATTTTATGGATCTAGATCCATCAGAATTCTGCAATCGATACAAAACCGTACTGCCTGGGTTGTGGCTAGATGTCAATGATATGATCATGCCACACCGATCCTGAGTGATTTGCATTGGTTGCCCATAAATAAAAGAATTGTTTTTAAAATCTCTGTCACAGTTTTCAAACCACTAAATGGTCTGGCTCCAAAATATTTATCAGATAAACTGAAATTAAAAACGTCGACCGCATCTGGTGTGCGTCTGAGGCCTGACGATTCGAACATTCTTGTGGTTCCTCATAGACAGCTAAGGATTGGATCGCGTGATTTTGCTGTGACAGTCTCTGTCGTATGGAACGGCTTGCCGTTAGCCCTCAGAATGCCTGGAATGAACATTGCTGAATTTAAAAGACAATTAAAGCCATACCTTTTTTCATTATAGTTCATTCTTGCTATTTCGTTATTAATATTAGTTATAATTTGATAGCGTTTGTGAAAACTGCTATAACGAACGCTATATTAAGTTTTCTCTTAATATATATATATATATATATATATATATATATATATATATATATATATTATTTGGAATAAACATCAAAAACATGAGAAAAATATATGGGTAAAAATTGTTGATCTGCCTTGCAGATACGTCAACCAGTACGAGTACATAACGCACATCAGTTGATCGATCGATCTAGCATATGTGCTGTTAAGTTAAGGGGTCATTAGCATATTACTTGCTTATATCATTTATTTTCTCTTTGTTTTGTCCATTAAGCTTTCGGAATCTATTTTTAAAACACTACTTGATATTTATAAAACTGTGAACTATAGTTTCAATTGCGTCTTCACTTACTTCACATTTGTTGAGGTGTTTTGTTTGTTTATCGGTGATTATTATTATTTTATTTGGCAGTTAGATGTGTTAGGTGTGCTGTAATTTTTTTAGCTTTTTTATTCATTGATTTTACTATCTAAATATTGGTTAATAAACTCAAGCTCAATTGGTTCGAATTTGTAAAAAAATCATCACTTCATTATAATTATTAATTATAAAATAAAATTTTTATTGAAATAAAAAAATTTATTTAATTAATTAAACAGTATTCTTTAATTTTAGTATTTTTTAAATTTTAAGGTTGACTTTATAATACACTTACCGTGTTGTATAGTGTACACAAAATTTAATCTTTTAAAAAATTTTTAGGTTTGTTTCTTGTTTGTCATTTCTTTTTTTTTATTTTTATTAAATTGCTAAGCTGCTTTGCTAAGCTGAGGTATTTAATAAAGTTTAAATTTATTGACAGTATTTATATTAATTAATTGAGCTTCTTATACTTTTATATTTGCATTTTCAATTATAAAGACGGCAAACCCGGGGGCCACAAAGTAGTTCTTCTAGCAATATTTATTTAATTATAGTCAACAGCTTAAAAAGACACATAAGCTTCTCCTACGGTGTAACTAATAATTAAACTAAATAGAGCTTCTTGTTCGTTGCCTAGGGACTGTACAGTGTACATAACTGACATGGGCGGTGTGATGGCTCAATGGTTAAAGGCGCCTGGTCTTGCTATTGCTATGACTGGGTTCGAATACAAAGAGATCCCCGCCTATCATATGCAATGTGTATGATGCATGGTTTGCATGCATATTCATACACACTGTGTGTGTTTGTCGTTAAAACCTCTGAAGCAAACGCATTACGTAGGTAAGTAATTTAATACAAGTTAATTCTTAGGTAAGTTTTTTAGATCATTACTTATCAAATATCAATGGCTTATGGGGTGGTTAACAGGGTTAGGGTTAGGGCCTCCATTTTAAACAAAATTTTAATTCAAAATTTTCAATCATTTCACAAATGATAAAAATGGAGGCCCTAACCCTGTTAACGACTCCATAAGCCATTGATTGTTATCAAAACAGAAATTTACTCATATTTTAACTTTTTTTTTATTTAATGTTCACTATTTCAACTATTTGACAAGTAATGATCTAAAAAACTTACCTAATTAAATCATTTTCAATTTCAATCAATCTTCGTTTTGCGTCCAGAGACCCGGTTTCCCGAGGTAGGACGTTGTTCTCTTTGCCATCAACTTTTTGCGCCAAATTAGACGATCAGTTGTATCCATTTCATTTAAATTTAGAGCTTTCATGTCTTGCTCGATTGTTTGCGACCAGGACTTCTTTGGACGGCCTTTGGGACGTGTGCCAGGTACTTCGACATCTGCAAGAGAAGTTATGGCACTGTTTCCACTTTGTTTGACATAACCAAACCACCTCAGACGGTGTTGCCGGCATTCGTCTCTTATATCATCTAAACCAACACGACGGAAGATTTTAGTTGATTTGATGTGGTCCTTTAGACTAATTCGTTGCATCCATCGGAGTATTTTCATGTCGGTTCGTTGAAGTTGTTGTTCCAGTTTGGTTGTCATTAGCCATGTTTCTGCACCATATAACAACACCGGACGTATCACAGATTTATAAAGTCTTGATTGTAATGGTAGTGGGATGTCACGCCGCATCAATATAGAGGCAAGGAGATGCCATTTATTCCAGGCTGCACGTATGCGTGCTCGAACGGCAGCTTTAGCTGTTCCAGTACAATCAATCAATCAATCTTCGTTTTGCGTCCAGAGACCCGGTTTCCCGAGGTAGGACATTAGCTGTTAGCTGTTCCACTACAATCCAGAACATCCCCTAGATATTGAAACGATGTGACTTTCTCTACCTTAATGGCTTCAAAAACAGTGCTATTTCGAATTTGTTGTTAAGGATTGATGCAAGCAGGACAAACAAAATTGGACACTTTAGATAAAGTACCAATTATTTTTGAACAACGGGTGTGACACCACTGGTTACACTGCTGACACTTGATTGTGTTACCAACACCAGCTTTACAAACTGAACAGGGCCATCGCCCAGTAGCTGTAGATTGGATGAGTTCACCAGTGTTCATTGCTTTGGTTTTGCTGATGTTGACTTTGAATCCATGATCGGTGAGTCTGGTGTTCCAATCTTCAAACATCTGTGCTGCATTCTGCTCAAACGTGGCTGTTAAAACGATATCACCAGCATATATTAGATTCCAAATGTCACCAGTGCGTATCGGTTTTGTGATTTCTTCCATCACAGTTATAAATAAAAGTGGACTGAGAATCGAGCCTTGATGAACTCCAACGCCGATGTCAAATGCATCTGTGTTTCCAACCGTTGTGCTAACAAGAGTCTTAATATTCGCATACATTTCCATCACAAGTCGAACAAGATATTCTGGAATGAGTTGTCGACGTAGACTGATTGCTTAACGGGGAACTCGATCAAATGCTTTTTCAAGGTTTACAAAAATGTGTGATAGTTGTTGATGCTTTGCGAGGTACTTCTCTTGCAGTTGCCGAAGGATGTGAATTGCATCGATTGTTGATTTCCCCGATAGGAAACCAAATTGATAATTTTCGATTGTGATGCCCGACGTTAATCTTCTCTCAATGATTTTCTCGAAAATTTTCAGGTAGTGTTCTAGCAGACGTATACCCCGATATGACGAACAGTTCAATGGATCACCTTTGCCTTTGTATAGCGGGACTGTCATGCTATAGTTCCATTCATTCGGCATTGAGCAATTTCTCCAGATTTCACGGCAAAGTTGTAGTAACGTTTGGATACCTGCAGCACCAGATGCTTTCAATTTGATATAAATAAATTATCAAGCGCTAGATAATTAAAAATGGGCGGAGTTAATTTATTAAAAGTACATTATGATTGTTTGTAAACATGGAGGATACCATAGGAGTGCCTATCTCCTGTTTTACCGTATATAAATCCATGCATCCATCCATAACCGTGGATGTATGTAATATCCATGCATTATACTCGCAAACGGGTGGTTTAAATGTTTTAAAATTAGTTGTTTGTGATGTGTTCATTCGCTTATTTAACAATGAAAAAATTGTACTGAGGGCATAAATGTCAGAATTATTTTTCCGCTGATTATACAAACATTAAAAGAAAATTAAACGGTTTTTTGATAATTTTTATTTTATAATTCTTATTGAGTTTAAAAAGAAAAAACAAGAATGAAAAACGTTTGACAATGTAATCTACTTTTTAACGGTTTCAGATCAAAATCAATCTAAATTTTAATCACCCTTGGTATACATTATTTAAAATGTTATAGCTCAATTCTTATACCTACTTTAATGTTCAACCAGGTTGTGCTTATATATTTATTATATCTCAACTTATGAAATTATAAAATAATCATATTTAAACCTCAACTTATATAATATAATATAATATATACCTATATGTAATATAATATATACCTATATGACTTAGTTATACCCATGGATAATCCCCAATTGATATAATACACCTAGATATACTCAACACGTTAAATTTAAAAAAATTACATTTCCGTATTGTATTATTTTTTAATTTATGTTAAAATTAAATTTATGTAGGGCCATATATGTGGAATATAACATATATAATATATATCCTATATATATATATATATATATATATACGTGCGTAGGACAAACTTGAATTTTAAATATATTTTGGGAATATGGCTTCGTTTAACCAGTCGACTTTTAGTTGCACCGGGGGAAGGAGCTTATGTGTCGATTTAAACTGTTGACTATAAATAGTTACTGCTGGAAAAACCACTTTGTGGTCTCGGGGTTTGCCTAAAAAAACATCAAAGTGTGTTTTTTTAATTAAATTATTTATATAATAATGTTAAAAATACTTTTAACCTCTTCCTAAAATAATAATTAGAAAGTTGAAGTACAAATGTTATGCTTAGTCTCATAGCATAAAGTAATCCTTGCAGGCTAAATGGTGTTATGGCAGAAAACAACGTTTAATTAAAAAATTCATAAAATGATGTGATCAGTAGATGTTTTTAATTACAATGTATGCATAATTATTGGAAATGAACACATCGAATAAATTTTGGTCTATCAAGATACTTTGTCTATCAAGTTTTTTTAATTATTGGTCTATCAAGTATAATGTTTTTTGTGTAAAAAAAACCTGTGTTATTAGCAAGCCTGTTGTAAAAATATAAATACACTAAAACTATACATGATGACCGTTTTTGAGTGCTAAAAGTTATAGACACAGTGGCCATTTCTGTCTCACAATGTATACATAAAGAGAAGCCATCAAATCTTACTTACAATCAACACCAACTAATTAACTACCTTTCCTTTGCCTAGGAAGCCATATAGATCAAAAATTGAAAAAGGCCTAGCTGTATGATGAATTTGAATAATAATAGTCCTATTTTTAATAAATTTGCATGATGAATTTGGATAGTAATTTTTTTTTAATAAACTGAACAATTTCGAAAAAATTCTAGTTGGGAAATTTGAAAATGCCAACAATTTGGTAGAATTCATACAATACTGTATATAGGATATATATATATATATGTATATATATATATGTGTGTATATATATATATATATATGTGTGTGTGTGTGTAATAGTTTAATTTTTCGTTTGGGATTGGTGGGTGTGATTCTTTAAGTCAAAATTAGAATAAATTCACCTAGTGAAGACACAGTAACAAAGTTACTCAAAACATATATAAACACATGTATGACAGTATGTAATATATTCCACTGATTTATTAGTGTTTATTAACTTATAATATTGAGAACAAGATTTTGTTTAATATTTAACTCACGGTTAAGATAAAGTTGACATTGTTCATGTCCTTGTTGATAAAAACTAATAAATCGGTGGAATTTATTTACATGCTGCAAAGAATTCGGTCTTCTACCAGCATTTACAAAAACATATATATTATTGAAATAGATAACATTATTCAATTTTTTCTTAATTCTTTCAAGACTTCTTATTAACTTTTTATTATTAAAGTTTAATAAATTGAGTACATTTCCTTAGTCATGTTAAGTGATTTGATTCGAAAAACTTCAGGCTGACATCGTGTCATTTAAAAATCTCATGCAGTTTTTTGAACGCATCCCCTGTGACAGACAGTCATCTTTTTACTTCGGTATTAAATCTTCCCTCCGCATTTAATTTACTTCCTAGGTAGACAAAATTGTTGACCATCCTATTAAATTTCTTTCAATTTCAAACTTTGGCCATGGTCCACATTTTTTGGTAACCGAAATGTTCTTCATTTTTTCAAAATGTACTTTTAGCCCAAGTTTTTTGCTTTCTTCAGCTAGATGCTTCACAAACATTTTCAATTTATCAAATGAGTCTGCTGTTGGACAAGTATCATCTGCATATTCCAAATCCTGACAGCATGAGAGAAAATGATCTCACCCAACCGTTATGAATATATGTATATACGGTGCTTTTTTTGTTAAAAAAAGGTTCCTATACTTAGTCAATGGATCGTCTAACTTTTAACTACCTGTGTGCACCTCGATGAAAGCTAAATCACAACTGCAAAGATGATGATGGTTAGCCATTTAGTCGAAGTCGACTTTCGGCCACTTTATGGATATGTCTTACCCATGCGTTCCTGTCCTCGACGATTATTTTAAGTTCTGAGATCGTCATTTTGGTGGCCGATGTGATTGCATCAAGCCAACGTATTCTTTGCCGTCCTTTTCTTCTTTTCTCACTCACTTTACCTAGCATCATTGAAGTTTCCAGCGAATTTGCGCGCATAACATGGCAAAGATACTAAATGTCTAAAACAATTTTGTTTTATAATTAACCAACTTAATTTGTTTTATTATTACTTTATTGGTGTGCCGTATACATGTGTTATGATTTTTAAAATTTAACTAGAAACTTATTTAAGTTATTCTTGATTTACTTTTAAAAAATGGTGTTAATTTTCTTGTGTTTTATAGGAAATACTCCCTACTACGTTTTTTGCATTAAATCCATTATATCTAATTGTTTGGCTTTATATGTAATTTCCATTTTATATCATATATCATATTGCACTAGTTTCCCTGGCAAAAAGCGCTTCAGTTGCTTGCCCTTGCGCTATATAAGTTATTATTATGATTATTATTTTTATTATAATGTATGAATTCTACCAAATGTTGGCATTAACCAATTTAATGTTTGCCTTTTCAATTTTTCTTACTGGAATTTTCTGGAAATTGTTTAATTTATTAAAAATTGAACTATTATTCCAATTCAGCCTGCAGATAAGCCTATTTCGATTTTTCACAAATCATCTTTTGTGCCTGCCGCTTTGGCTTCTGTAACACTTGCCCTCCACTGAGGCCAAAAATTGCCCTCGATTTGGTCAATTACCATTACTGCCTTGGTCTTCTTGTTCTGGGTAGGGGCCATCCCATCCAAATCTTCATTTTGATCTGAGGCTTATCTCGTTCTCGTACCCGATACAATATTTATATATATTTTTACATATTAAGTTTTAGCTGAAAAATCCATATTTGGTTTGTCTGGTTGAGATTTAGCATCCCTGCAGTTCCTAATTCTTAAAGTCAGCCGAGCATCAACTGAACATCAACCGAGCTGGTATGAATATTCTTTTTTCCGTTCTTTTTTCTGTATGTTCCATCAGTTTTTTGGCAGTTCTACAACAGTGCAGCAAGTACCTGTATCCATTTTACCTGAGTAGGAACCATTACCTAATTTTGTTGGATTGCAGTTACAAACAAATATATTAAAATCAATTATTTTACAACAATGTTGTTGCTTTTGTTTGTTTTGAATTTTTTAAAGTTATTTGATCAGTCGTTTATTTTACTCATCACATCAACCTGATCAACTAGCAATGATTGCTTTGAATGCTCCAATATTTAAGTGAACCTTATGGTACTATCAGTTTTTTTTTAATTTAAAAGACGGAAATAAAACTAAGAAAATAATATAGAAATCAAAATTATAAATCAATCAACATTATGGTTTTGTTAAAATTTTGATTTAAAACATAAGTGAAACTTAATGTTATTTATGGGTTTTTGAAAAAAAATATTATGTTTGGAAAAATTGGAACAGTTGTTCATGTTTTTACTGTTTGATTATGTAACGCTTTTTTTTTAGAAAAATTAACTGTGCTTAATATTTTCTGCAATTTAATTTATCCATAATTTTACTTATCTTTAATTGAATTAATTTTTAAAGTCCGCTAAACTGAAATGGCTACGGAGCTACAAGAATTGCAAAAACAAATAAACATCAAAACAGATGAGGTTTAACTACACTGATTCAATTGTTTTTCGTATAATAAAAATAATCTTGCTTTCATTACAGTCACTTGATAGTACTAGACGTATGTTGGCCCTAGTTGAGGAGGTTAGGTTTTTTGTGTTTGTGATTTCATTATCATTTGCTAATTTTCTTATTAACTTTATTCATAATTATTATTATTTTACTCAAGCCTCAGCATTCAGTTTCAGTTTATTTACAAGTTACATAATGTTATGAAATGTAAAAGTTATCACATCGATGTATATAATGTAGCAAACATGGCAGAATAATTTGTTAGGTATATTTTCAAATGCCTAATAATGTTTTCAAGTAAAAACTTACTTAGAAAATAACAACTGCTAATTGAGATTAAAGGCCGTGTAAAAAATACTAAAATATTAGATTTTTGCTTATTATTTTATTTTTTGATCAATTTATTTGCCTGGAATAAATGGCATCTCCTTGCCTCTATATTGATGCGGCGTGACATCCCACTACCACTACGATCAAGACATTATAAATCTGTGATACTTCCGGTGTTGTTATATGGTGCAGAAACATGGCCAATAACACCCAAACTGGAACAACAACTTCAACGAATCGACATGAAAATGCTCCGATGGATGCGACGAATTAGTCTGAAGGACCACATCAAATCTACCGAAATCCTGCGTCGTGCTGGTTTAGATGATATAAAGGACGAATGCCGGCAACGCCGTCTGAGATGGTTTGGTCATGTCAAACGAAGTGGAAACAGTGCCAGTACTTGGCACACGTCCCAAAGGCCGTCCAAAGAAGTCCTGGTCGCAAACAATCGAGCAAGACATGAAAGCTCTAAATTTAAATGAAATATATACAACTCATCGCCTAATTTGGCGCAAAAAATTGATGGCAAAGAAAACAACGTCCTACCTCGGGAGAACTGGGTCTCTGGACGCTAAACGATGATTGATTGATTTTGTTCCATTCACAGAAAATTTAATAATAAATTTTTTTCATAAAAAATAACGTCCTGTTTCAGCAACGGCGGTTATGCATGTTTGTATCAGTATTAAATTGAGCTTCAAAAATTTTTTGCAGGGTGTGCAGGTGCACCCAAAGAACAGCTGTTTAAAAAAGTTTTGTATCATTTTTTTATATAACGAAAAAAATACTGAAATATTGTTTGTCTTACGAATTATATTTAAAATATATTTTGATAATTTTTTTTAAAATAAAGATAAATAATTTTAAAAATATCCATGCATATAACAAAATTAAAATATTAATTGGATTTTGTTAATTAACTATAACTATGATTTGAAAGTCAATGCGTCATCATATTATCAATTGCAATCTATATTTATCTTTGCAACGATTTTTTCTTCATAAAATCATGAATATAAATGAAAGTGTGACGTCGATGCTGCTATTGCTTTCAAGTAAAGTTTATAATGGAAAAAATTGATAGGGCAGTTCCAGGCTGAAATTTTCTGATCTGTAAAACTTCTTAATTTGTTCGATCATGCCATTTAAACTCATATCAATATTTTTGAAACTTTCACTTATTTTTTTCAGCAGAAGTTTTTTTAATTTATGTATAATTAACAAAAGATAATTTTAATTTTATTAAAATAACTTTGTAAAATGTAAACTTGGGGTCAAATTAAATGTTTATAATTTAAATTTTGGCTTTTTTGTGCTTATTATATACATCAATTTAGTTATTTAGCAACTTTTTTGGTTTTTCACGTTGGAACGTTCTTGCAAACGGTGAACATTTTGCAATCATGATTATTTTTATGATACATATATATATAAGTAGTAACAAGCTTTTATAAATTCCAAATAACAGCATTCATGTAAATTGTAAATAGTATTCTTTTATAATTCAAGTAGTGAAATAACGAAACAACAATGATGTAATAAAGTGGCTCATTATATAAAATAAGATGTAAAAATTTTCAAATCTAAAAGTTAGCGGTTATATAATTAATTTTAATTGCCACATTTGTCGTTCTATAAATGAATCTTATCCGCTTACAAATTCAGTCACATTATTTGCAGGACTATTCATGAGGCAGGTGTTCTATAACGAGAATTATGTGTTGAAAAAAATTTCTAAAAAGCTATTGCAAACTAATGTGCCAAGCTTCAAAAGAGGCGGATGTGAAAATATCCCTCTTTTAGGCTATCGAGATAACACCGCTGCCCTTCCGTTCACCTCGTTGTAGATCTTAAGCTTTGTGCTCTTTTACACGCAGCCAGTCACCCTATAAGAAATACTGTAGTCTAAGTTTACATCTCTTAACCCGGATCTAATGATGAACAAACAGTGCCAGTTTTATGGTCAAAAATAATGTTATAATTGGCCGGTCGACGACGAGTTTTTTTTCGAGTTCGTTTAAATCACAGTGAAAAATTATGACAATATAACTTTCAAATTATCGATTACAGAACAATAATTAATAAATTAATTATTAATCAACGTTATTAAATTTTACTTGTTATTGTTAATGTCCACAAACTATCGAATTAACGTTCAGAAACTATAGCTTTCCGAATAACAATTCACTAACGCTTATCGCAAACGCAACGCAGTCAACTATCAAATATTGCTTTCAACACTAACAATCAATCGCTTTCTAAAATCGAATATTCAACAACAACCATTCAATATCTCGCATGCCTTTATATGTCCGTTTTTCCAACGTTTCTCGATCCCCATCGGAAGGTTCTAGTTCCTCGAACTGTATGCGTTCGTAGCAACACTAGCTCTCTAGCGAACATATTTGTGGCGATTATAACAATAATTTGTTGAAAGTAGCATAAATAAATTAAGTTCTACTGTAATGTACTATGTAGTTTGTAGACACCAGAAAATGCTAAAATAATAAAATTAATTGTGGTACTACAGTTCTAAAATGCAAATATAAAAAAATGAACAGATTACATATAGGTCTACTATAAAATTTAAATTACATTAAATCAAATTTTTTAATGGAATAAAGAAATAATAAATTACTGTACACTGAAAATAAACATTAATAATGTCTTTTAATTTTTTAATTCTACCCAGTAAAATCTTATAGAGTATGCATTACAGCTTGGATAGTGGAACAAAATATAATAAATTTATTTGTTACGGATTATAATATTTGTGTTCAGTGGCGGATCTAAACAACTTTGACGGGGAGGCCAAAATTTTGAAATGTTTCAGTTATCACGGGGGAGGGCCAAGATTTGTGGTAGTGTTGTTAATGACCTTCTTTTTGCTTTTTACGTCCAATTTCTGTTTGATTTTTTATTTAAAACGGTCTTTTCTCAGACTTTTATTAAAATACTGCTCACAACGGGTGGAGGGCACTGGCGGCCAATTTCTAGATCCCCCACTGTGTTGTATCAATGGCATAGGTTTGAAAACAACATTAATACATATAAAATAGTCAACAATATTGTAATTTTAAAATTATGAGGTATGACTTAACGTTTCATGTTCTACAGACTTAAAATAAGTAGCATTTAAATATATTGATAAATATGCAGTTCTATCTTGGTCTGGCTTTGTTACACGACAACAACGACAATCTCATACAAAATTAATTCGCTTCAACTTTCTTCCAAGTCACCCCACAAAGTTGAAAGAATCACTGTTTATAACAATTTTATTTGCAAAAAGTAACCAAAAGCTTTATTTCTTGTATTCGTCTGACCAGAAAACAGACGTAAAGAACTGCAAGGGTTCATTCTGGTTCATTTTGTATTTCTTGTATTAACGTCCTACCTCGGGAAACTGGGTCTCTGGACGCTAAACGAAGATTGATTGATTTGACTTTTCATTCTCGTCATTTGTCTTTACTGAGAGTGCCTCAATTACTTCATCCAAGTTTCTAATAAGACTTTCACAAACATCGTCTCGCGCGGACCAACGAATTTCAGATAATTTTTTAAGCCCACATTTCTTTTTACATTAAGCATTTTTAATACTTGGGAGAAATACGTACACAGAGCAGGGCGTGCACGGAGCAGTAGGAATTACTTTTCGTATCCTAGCCTGTGAACCAGAATACATACCAGGCGTTGTCGAATGACTGACCCTTGCAGTTCTTTAGGTCTGTTTTCTTGTCAGACAAAACGGTGGTTACAGCATTGAAGTTACTTAAGATTTGTGACCAATAGATGAAAATAAACGAAAGAACTTTTCGTCAACTTTTCACTACGGTTTTCTTTTTTTCTTCTATTTTTTATTATGTCCTCTTGTTCTTGGATCAGACGTAAGCATTGGTTCATTATGCCAGTTTATTTTATTTATTTATTTATTTATCCAATTGCGAAACAGCAACTGAAATATACAAGAAATAAAAAAATAAAAAAACAGAAAACAAATTATCGTAAACAGATACAGTAAATAATGTACTTCATAAAAATAAGTAATCAATCAAACCTCAATCAATTCTCGCGTTACATGTACAATAACAAACTTAGAGAAAAATTTGAAAAAAGAAAACAGAACCAAAGTCATGTAAATGTATCTAAAACAATTGAAATTCCACAAAATTTGCGAAAGCAGAAAATTTAAGCAAGACTAAAAGAGGAAAACAAATAATTGTAAACAAATATAGTAAATAATGTACTTCATAAAAATAAGTAACCCTAATCAATCAAACCTCAATTACTTCTCGCGTTACATGTACAATAACATACTTAGAGCAAAATTTGAAAAAAAGAAAACAGAACCAAATTCATGTAAATGTATCTAAAAAAATTAAAATTCCACAAAATTTGCGAAGGCAAAAAATTTAAGCAAGACTAAAAGAGAAATCTATTGAAAATAGAAAGAATTATATGAGCAAAACACTATCGAGAAAAGTTAGTTTTCCGGTCATACAACACATCACCGAAGAAATTGTCAATTGCAGATTTAAAAACCATTTAGAGAGGCAGCATTCGCGGTGGCAAAGGGCAACTTGTTCCAGTCGTCTACTAACTACTCTGTTTGAAAAATAGAATTTTCTGCAGTCTTTGTGGCAAGCTCCAGTAGCAAGCTTACGGTTATGTTCTCTAGTGCTATCATCATATCAAAATGTTAACATTTGGTTGACATTTTCAGCAATTTCTCCATGAAT